TGTTTCTGCTTTTCCTTCCCATGTAACAAGCTCTACGACCAGAGGCTAAGGTGTTTGCTAAAATGGTTGTGGGTCAAAATGGGTACTCAAAATGGAACCTGGTAAATGGATAATGGAACCATGGACTAAAACCTGCCTTCCCCTGGTGGTTTACTTTTGGCTCATACCCAAATAGGACAAATCCCCTATGAGGTTCCTGATGGCTTTCCCTTCATTCACAAGCTTGGGCTCTGAACATCTGAACTTCGTGCAACAGCCGAAGGTGGACACCTGGCGCAGTGCCTATGTGAGGGAAACCGAGCAAGCAAATGAAGGTAGAAATCCGTGTGACAAAAGAAATGGATTTCAAACATCCACTTGCAATTGGCTCATGTTCCAGGAAGAAAGGATAAAGCTACCAAACATTTGGAGAAGTATCCGATTTTGCCACGGGGGGCTAAAACTCGGTTCTACCAGAAAAAAATGAGTTCGACCCTTTTGGGACGTCCAAAAGAACCAACATGGTATCCCGGATGCCCCAGGTTCCTATGATATTCAAGTCAATTGCCTTGTCCAAATACCCAGCAACCCCCCAAACCAATTCAGGGCCTAGGCTAAAACTTCAGCAATAAGTTCTGAAGCACTGGCTGGATTGATCATTAAAGCGACATAGTCAAAACCACCGTCTAAACTACCACAAAAGAAACTAGAGAACCCTGAAGATGTTTTAACTTGGTTGACATGGCTACACACATCGTCCTTAGCGATAAACCCGTTCAGGACAGCCCGGGTCCGGGACTGCCCCCTCCTTGCGGTACTCCTCAAGCTCGAACACCCGAAGCTTGGTGAAGACACCGTGAAACCTCCTGCAATCGATGGGCGTCTCGGAGCTGCGGGGGCAAAGGGAAGGGGGAAGGGAAGGCGGCCTACAACAGGTCCTCGTAGGATGAAACTCAACTTGAACGTGGCGACCGAAAGGTGATGCTTACTTCTCCCAAGAGAGGAAACGTAAGAACCCCCCTTTTACATCCCCAACAGGGGATGTGATTTTCCCATGATGTCCTTAACCTTGTCAAAATCACATCCCCAGCAAATCGACCCTGGGAATGTGAAAAGGGATATGAATCATTTCCTTGACTGCAATTGGGCAAGGGGAGGGGGAAATGCCAAATCCCAGGGTCTGATCCAAGGAAGGATCCAAATCTCATGTAAGCTTGTCGACTTCAAGCAGCGATGCTGATGCCGTATGGGGGGTGCCTGGCATTCCTCAACCCACCCCCAAAAAAAGCAAACTCCTTGCTTGAAGGGCAGGGACCTAGCTGCAGACGCAAAGGGCTGCCAGTTTGCCGAGCAAACAAGCGCCTCCTAATAAAAGGGAACCTTGATTGATTTCCCCATCCTACTAATAGGGGGGTGTCACCCACAAAACTGAAGGATTCCCACCAACTGGGGACACCCCCTGTATAATTCAATCAGGACTCCTCTGGGGTTAACGGTACTTATTCGAAACTGAAAAAAGACAAAGAAAACCTTGAAAAAGCAAACGAAAGAGTGTGGAACGGTGCCAGAGCCGTGAGGCTGCGCTCGCCCGTCCAATGTCTGAAACAACCATTTGTTGGACAGGCTGAGACGTTTAATTCTGCCACCCCCGCACCCCCACCCCGACCCATAAAGAATCAGTCAACTCTCTGTGTTTCGGGATCGAAAAGCCCAACTGTTGGGTTCCTCTTTCCACCGCATTCTTTTGCCCTCCCACCACCGAACCTAGTTTGATGTACTTGCGACCCCGTCTTCAAGGCGTACCAGAAAGAGTAAGTGCCGTCTAGTTCGATGGAATGCCCCATTGATATATTGTTTAGATATTCTCCTGCAAATTGGACTCCAAAAATTGATCTTGTGCTCCGCGTCAATTTGCCAGGGGGCTACGCCCCCCACACTTCTCCACCCTGCCCCCGCAACTCCCCCCCTGCGAGAACCATAAGCATCAGAAGCCGCCTGTGGCAACCGGACACGAGTTCGGGGCTGACGTCCAGGGGATGCACCACCCGCATGTCCCAAAAGGGCTGCAGCCGGTGAGCCCAGATGCTCCAGAAGACGGCCTCGCGCGCTTGCGCTTTCTTGGCGCGGGGTGGCGCGCCCGTGGATTTCTTTCTTGGCGGGGGGGGCAGCGGTAACCCAAAGGGAAGCCACAAAATGATAGTAAAACTGAGCCAGGGTTACCCTACACCCTAGACCCTGTTGTCCTGGACGTGGGATATGGAGCTCAAGGTTTGGAAGTTGTCCATTTGGGTTTTGTTTTGAGACACGCACAGTCCCACCAAACGGAACTGACAAGCGGCCAAGGAAGGTGATGATAAGCCCAAACAGGAAAAACTACGGACCCCTGGCAAAAACCAGGAAGGTTGGAGGAGGAAAGCCAAAAGGAATCCCTAGACAGCCCAACAACTACCTGATAACCAGTACCAAACCTCCCTAAACTGGGAGGAAGCCTATGCCCCGCGCCAAACCCGCAACTGCGGGGGATCTCAAGAATGGGCCTTGCAGGAACAACGAAGGCATCTGCCTTGGCAAAAGCAACATCAGTGAGAGTTGTGTCTGAAATCCTCCATGACAACAACCACGGCAGCAAGAGTCTTCCGTGTGGGCTGTTTGCTGGCTTGCTCAAAAGAGACAATAAAGGAAGATGAAATTAAGCATTGACAAATACATGAGGCAAAGCCAGGGCTCAAGCAGCGAGCAAACAATTGCCTGGCAACTTGAAGCATCGTCAAGACGCCAACATCTGGCAATGGGCAATGTGTCCAATATGTTGTTGATCAGCAACAAACGAGCATGACAAAGCCTCTGACCCTCTCATTTCAATTTGTACAGCCGCTCTGCCGCTCTGCGCCTCTATATCAAATGTCTTGCAACAAAGTGGTGGAAAACTGTCCCAATGCTGCTGGTCCCTGAAGTGTTTGGGCATGGTGATGATCGGCGCATCCCTCAGCCGAATTCAGTCATGGAAAGAACAAAAGCATCGCAGGAGACAAGCTGCGCTCTGTGCCCAGACTGCGGAATAACGGCACTCTCATTAAATACAATCAAGGGCCCCCAGGGCAACAAGAAAAGAAGGAGGGGTCCTTCCAACCCATACATGAGTTTGTGTTCCTAAAAACGGACTCAAATGGTTGATCTGCAGAGCATTCTGCATGCGCAATTGGGGACCCAAAATATGGGAATCCTGACATGGCTTGGATTCCTTTCTACCCAAGACTCGGCCGTTCAGCTCACGGGGCTGGAGATGCAATGCTTCTACCCTCAGTCCCACCGGAAGAAGAAGAAAGAAAAACCGAGGAGGAGCCGCACGGACCCGGCCTCCGTCACCAGCAGCACCCGGTCGTAGGTCCCCCCGTGCTTCAGCAGACTGGAGCCCAGCACCAGGGCATCCAGCCCATAGGCGTCCATTTCTTCCGACTCCTCCAAGGCCCACAGCACGGAGACCTGGAGATTTCACCAACGCGGCGGTTTTCGCCGAGGAAACCGACCTGGGGCAGCTTCGGTATTGGACCTGCATGACTCAAGATCCCCCGACTGCTTGAGGGGTCTTCAATAGAAGATCGCTTCTCCACAGGAGACAATCCGGGCAAGAATGCAACTTGCCTTTTACTTTTAAAGGGTGGTTTGTCTAAGTCCTTCCTCTTAGATCTAAGCCCCCAAACCATCTGACTTAAGGTGAATTCTTTATAGAAACGAAAGGGGGGGTGCCCGCGACTGCTGCACCGTTCCAGGGGGGTGGCGGTCACATTGAAGGAGGTCCAACAATACTAAGGAAGTGGTTAGCAACCATATTGGGTGTGGGTCAAAAATAGGTACACAAAATGGAACCCTGGTAAATGAAAACAACGACTAAAGCCTGCGGTCCCCTGGTGGCTTAATTTTGACCCATACCCATATAACCCCTACTTACGTTGGTTGTCAGTCCGAGGGTTATTAACCACACCTAACGTTCAAGTCGGAATCCACTCCATTTTGGGCAATTGCCCCGAACAGAAGCATCCGAGAAAAATGCCGACAGCTCCCCCATGTGCCAAAATAGTGGGACCCTCAAAATGGCGGTTGCCCTTTTCCCTTTTAAACCAACCTAACAGGGGTACCCTCAAAAAGACACCCACCCACTTGGACGGTGTTGATTGGAAACCACCCTGCTCCCGTTTTGTGCGTTCCCCATCCCAGAATGAGCAGGAATGAAGTCAGGGTTCCATGTTCTTGTAACCCCAAGGTAGACTTGCAACCTGCTCACCAGGCACTTGCAGCATGCTCTTTGAAATGCAGACTGAGTCGCGTAAGCACCATCCTTCTTGGGCGTATAGTGCACGGGTGCCCTAGCGTGTGGCCCCCAAAGATGGAAGACTTTCACATTTTGCTCAATGTACTGCAGTGGGTGAACGGGTGAACGAATGTAATCAAGCCAAGTCAAAACTTCCTGTGCCCGTGGTCATAGAATCATGATGTTGGTTGCCAAACCGCACGGCTTTGATGGACAAAAACTAAGCGCTGCGAACATCGCCGAACAAAAAGTAAACTCGACCAAAATTGCTAATATGATAATTTCCGAATGCATGCTTTCTCGGATTCTTTTAACCCTGCAAGAAGCACATCCGACATGAGGTTCCGATTTCAGACACTCACGCCCTTTGCTTTTCCATTTGCGAGTCACCAGACGGTCTGAAAAAGGCATCCCAGTTTCGACCAACCGGCGTAAGACCCACGGACAATATTGATGGTTCTTTGTTCCCCAAGACATGCGAGAATTGGTTTGTCCTGGTTTTTTGTGTGAAATTCGGGTCCTCCCCATGCACAAGCAACAGTAATTTACCAACTTGATCAGTTGCTATGTCATATTGGGGAGATATCGCAACCTAGAGATGCACCACTTCAGGGGACCCTGAAAAAATCGGGGTCTCGAGAATGGCTGGTTTCCTTTTGGCTTCCGTTCAAAACAACCGAAAACGGGATCCGGGATCAAGAAAGACACCCCC